CATATTAGCGGCTGGTCTGCCATAAATTCCATTAGATTTTAAACTTTTTTTTAAATTTTTACTTTTTTCCTCATTTGTCTATTTTATATTGCTTAGATGTGAAAGTCTTGTTTAAAATGAAATGTGCTATTTCATAGTGATTTGATCCAAAAGGGTTGATTTCTCCATTATGTTTGTGTCAAACATTTGCCTGACTTAAGTGTTTTGTTTTGTGTGTTTTTTTTAAAGATGTATTCTTATATTGGCAAACTCTTCTGATTCAAAATGGAAGACATCTATTGCCTTTTATTTTGTACATCAGCTTTGTATTGGTTTTGGGGTGATGTACAGTTTTAATAAACCAGAATGTACACAAGTTTGATCCCGAGTCACTTGATTAATTATCTCTAAAATAATTTTAAAATGACACTTTAAAACACGCCAGTCATAAACAACAAGCCCCCTCCCTGTAGAAGTTCTGTATGTAAATGTTACGGTTTGCCCACCTTTGCATGTTGGTGTATTAACTTTTTTTCCCACTTGTTAATATTTAATATTTCACTTGTCTGTTGACCAACAGTATGTTGGCTTCATATTTTTATGGAAGACTAGATACAAACAAAAAGCTTAAAGACAAATGGAGGCCATCCTAAATTTAGATGGGTTTGCTTCTTCTTTGGAATAGCTTTGGAGAAGTGTAGCATTACATCTCTTGCTCACCAATGGATCTTCTGTAGTGAATGGGTGCCGTCAGAATGGGAGTCCAAAAAGTTGATAAAAACAAGTAATCCACACGATCAGTTAACTCCCTGTGAAAAGTTGTTTGTAGTAAATAAATCCTTCATTAAGATGCTTTTACCTTTAAACCGTTACTTCTGGCCAAAATGCAAGTCAATAATCCATCCATCAACATATTTTAAAACTGGTTTGGACTGGTTTCACTTGTAAACATCACTTGCTCTGCATATTTCTCTCTTGATTCAGTATGACTTTTTCCACTTAATCACTGATGGACTGGAGTCGTGAAGATTACTTGTGAATTATGATTTTTTTTTTTTATCAGCTGTTTGGACTGACGGCACCCATTCACTGCAGATGATCCACTGGTGAGCAAGTGATGTAATGCTAAATTTCTCCAAATATTTTCCCACAAAGAAACAAACCTGGTGAGTAAATATTCAGCAAATTTTAACCATGTCCATTTTTTATGAAACCAATTGAAGAAAAATGACTCAAACGCTTTGAATACTTCAACTATATCAACACCCTAGTACTTGTCAAAACGAAGTGCATCACAAAGCATTAGATAACATGATTTTATTGAGTTTTTTTGGACAAAGTGAAGTAAAAATGCTACAAAGAATCCCTTTGTTCAGCTTGCCTCCTATGAGTTAATATTTGAACAAATCTGAAGCTAGTTTTTAAAACTTTTAAGGTTTAATTGTTTGGTTAAACGTTAGTCCCTTTCAATCAGCACAACATTTATCACGCAAATAAAAAAATCTCCATACGCATTGCAATTCAAAAACAAAATCAGTATTTCCTCGTCTACACATTAAGACAACTTCAGCAAAACAAATATATGGAGGGGAAAAAGATTCCATGTAAGAACTCCAGTATTTGACCGTCTCGGTAAGGGATGAAACATGGAGATGCACTGTAATGAGTTCTATGCGCTGTAGGAAATCAACATGCCAGACATTTCCACTCATTAAAAATGATTACAGATCAGCTCTGACCACCCGTCTGACTAAAACCACAGTGAACGAAGCTATTAAGCTGACTTCAGGTCAGTTATTGTGAGATCACAAGCCTAAATCATTGATAGCATTTTCCAAAATCT